AATTATTTTTTCGCATACGCATTTTCTGGTATCCTGGTAATTGTGTGATAAAATCATTCAGTCCTCCGTCCGTCCTAATACTGAATAGGTATGCCACAGCTAATTTCAAAACGTCCTTCACGCTGATAGGGTCCTGCTTTGATGAAAGCCGCTATGTTTCAATTCGGTTCTTGAAAGATGTTTTGACAAGACTAACGTCTTCCTCCTGCTTCAACAGGTGTTGGCTCGGTGCTAGAGACACCGAAGATGACCAACTCATTGATTTATCGGATTCTCCAAGTCGCAATTCTCACACCACCGGCATGTGGCTGATATTGAAAGTCCTGAAAATAATTGAATTAGATTTAAAAAATTCGATTAATGTCAACTTACCAGCAAAAGTCTAGCTTGCTTCATCATGGGGGCGGCGGGATCTCCAGCCTTTCGTTTGGAGGCTCTCTTGGAGCTGGGTGTTTTGGTGGTGTTGGATAGCCCCCTCTGCTTCAAAAATTCCACCACATTGGTTACAGATCTTGGCAGATGATTAGCAATCCTCATGATGTTTCAGGTTATCTCCTTCCTGGTGAACCATTTTGTACACAAAATTAAAAATTCGCTGTTTATGGAGGTTTGTTTTAAAGTAAATGAAAAAATAAAACCAGTTTAAATTGGTTAAAGAACCTACCTAAATTTTAGAAAAAGAAATTTGAGTTTTGTGCAAATGTAAGTGAAAAAGTAAATTCAAGTTGCTGCGTAAAAAACTATTGGAATTAAATTAAGAAATAGGTAGGTACTCAGGGTTGTCTGTATTTTTAAAAAACATACAATATATTTATGTGTTAAGGAAAATAAAAATAATTCAAAAATCGAGGTTTGTGTTAATTCAAAATATGTCTCGGGGCATGATTTATCCTACATCACTTAGATATTTAAAAATAGTACTTACAGTTTTTCGAAACCGACACTTATCGCACAAAAAACTAAACTTTGAGAATCCAGGTTCAAAGTACTGGTACTGGATGCTGCGTTTTTTGTACAAAGAATAAAAATTGAATCCTCATCTTTTACAGGTAACAGTGTATCCACTGAAATTTTGTATTGCATAGGGTTATTGGCTCATAAAATGTCAACGATGCTAATTTAAATCTATTCTTTTAAATTTTGATAAATTTATTGAATTTGTCACCTTTTTTAAAATAAAAATGGACATATTAATATCTAACTTAATAATTACGCCTTAAACTAAAAAATTATCTTTAAAATGTGTTGTTGTTTTTCTCGGGCGATTTCTGCGAACGGTCCTGATATAATTCAGATAAAAAAACTGCCGAATAAGCGTTTACATTTGGCGGTGCTTTTGTATGTGATATCAAAGTTTTCGAAGTTTAAATAGGATTTTATAATAGCAAGCTTCTTTCAGTTTGCTCAAACTCGTCACCAGTGAAAAATATAAAATTATTGCACAGCAATTAATTTGATTTTAAACAAGTAAGTAAAAAAAATCTTATATACTATTATCAATCAACAACAAGACCTGTTTTTTTATAGCAAAGGATTAAAAACACTGAGAAAATTACAAGACCTGAAGCCTCATAGAAAGTGAAATTCCCAATATTTTGACAGCGTTTTTTGTATGTTATGTTGTTAATTCGAGGTTTGAATCGGATTTTATAATAATTAAGCTCTTTCAGTCTTGTTTGAGACTCGTCAACAACAATAAAATTATTGCACAACAATTATCATTTTAACCAAGTAAGTGAATATATTATATACCTACTGATATCGATACAATTATGGAATATTTTAGATATGGATTTGAAATCAATCAACAAGGCCTGTCTTTTTATAACAAAGGATCAAAAACGCTGAGAAAATTATAAGTCCTGGTATAAAGTGAAAGTTCCCAATATTTTCTACGATACAGACCTCAAAATAATTGCAAATCTTTACTGGAACCAATAAACTATACAAATTAAGGTAGATCATAAAACTATTGCACAGAAATTATTATTTTAACCTAGTAAGTAAATATCCCTTATACTTAGGTAATCGATACAATTGATGTGGTATATTTTTAGCTATGGATTTGAAATACTCGTTGCATTTGACGGTAACGCAGTGTTTCTCCCAAGAAGTTCCACCAAAATGATTGGATCATATTATTAAGCAGTTTATTGATGGAAAATATTCGCTTTTTGAAATCGTTGTCTTAAAAAATGTATGTTTTTAATAAAAAAACGAGGCCCCTTTCCCATCAAACGTTGGTTCCAACCAAGGATAATACACACTACTACTACAGGATAGCCTATCCTCATAAGGCCTGTGTGGAACAAATCCACTCTCTCCCCAACGTTAAATCACCAGTTGTGACGTAAGCAGCATGTTATTTCTCGCCTTGACGTAGGTTGTTTAAACAGCTGATGACTTAGTTATGGCGTCGTAAATGGTAGCACACGAGGTCAATGAGCAATACTGTAGGTGTGTATCATCCTTAAGTTCGAACACCCTCTACCAGGTACAACATGAAGCTAGCTGCTGGACCCTCATAGTTACGTCACCACCACAGCATCCTGTTATAAGACACATCAAACTTGACACATGTACTCTAAATGGCGCCACGGACGTGACCCAGGTCGCTATGACGTCATCACAGAACCCGAACCATGAATCGAACTTTGCACTATGTACTCTAAATGGCGTCACGGACCCGCACTGACGTAACCCACGTGACCCAGGTCGCTATGACGTCATCACAGAACCATGAAACGAACTTCGCACTATGTACTCTAAATGGCGCCACGAACGTGACCCAGGTCGCTATGACATCATCACAGAACCCGAACCCTGAATCAAACTTTGCACTATGTACTCTAAGTGACTCCACGGACGTGACCCAGTCGCTATGACGTCATCACAGAGCCCGGAACGACTCAAAACTCCCGCTATGACGTCATGATGTTTGACAGATGACGTTTGACAGGTGACGTTTGACAGATGACGTTTGACAATATGGCGGGAAAACATTTCCCCCTCCCCTTTTTCTGTTACCCATGATGAAATCCGGGAGCCCCCTTTTTGGGGGGTGGAGCCCTGCGGGTCCCAACTACAGCATCCTGTATTACGAACTTCACACTATGTACGCTAGATGGCGCCATGACGTTTGACAAGATGGCGCCGACGATGCATCCACCTTCGTGTCAACGGCGGCGCATCCACCACGTGTCAAGAATGAAAGATTGAGGTTATGGTCGGATTTTTATTCTAGGACCCGCTTTGACTATCTACTTGCGACAAAAAACTGATTGTTATTGTGGTACTTTCTTATAAAATGCAAGGATCTTAAATTTTTTGCTGAGGTCTTTATACCACAGGTAATCCAAGGTTTTTTTATCTTTAACCTTGAGATATTGTAGAGGAAATGCCCTGTTAAAAGCACCTGTTAATAAAGCATGAAACTGTTCCACTGGATTCTCCGCACTCAGAACACCATTCCACAATATCCTGCTACAATTTACTTTAAATTTATTATAATTTTTTTTACTGAAAATTCTTCCCCGTCTAGTTTTTTTTAAATTTTGCACCAGAATCTACAGAACAAGTAAGCAAAACAGCTTCATGATCAGACAATCCAGAAGCAATAGTGCTGCAGTCCAAGATCTTGCTGTCTTCAATGTTTGAGCAAAAATAGTCAATCATAGTGGCAGACAACTGCGTAATTCATTTTCAGGTTTAGCGACCTCAAAAGGCAATTAAGCGACTGTGTGGCCAAAGATCCCACATCGGTAAAGTTTATGTTAAGATCGCCCGCTAGAATAATGTTGGAACGGACAGGCAATCCAGTCAAAAGCATTTCAAGACGATCGATAAATACATTGACATCACAGCTTGGAGGTCTATAGATACATACTACATATAGATTAAAAGACTTAACTAAAATTATTGAGAATTCAAACTCCCTTTCGACCGTCAAACTATTAAACCTATCCACATTCACAATTAAAAATTTATCACAGATTTTTTTGTGTACAAGAATTATAGTTCCCCCATGTAAAATTTGCTTTCTGCAATAGATTGATGCTATATTGTAGTCAGGAATATAACATGGTTCATTCTCTTTCAGCCAGTGCTCCGTCAACAAGACAAAATTAGGTCTATTACACAACTCCAGAAGCACACTCAGTTCATCTTTTTTATTTCTTACAGATTGAATATTTAACAAAAACAAAGTAAAGTTATTATTATTTATATACCTATTTGTGTGTGGAGAGGTTTCTCTAAAAAAGAGGCAGCCTCATCAATGCCCAGAGCAGTAGCATCAACGACCCCCCCATAATTGAAATAGCCACAGTCATTTCCAGTTCGTAATGATTTCAGATGGATTAAATTAGATTTATTACTATTTTTGAAAAAGGATTTCAGTCTCTCCGAAATAACTGTTGACAATTATTGCAATCCTGTAAAATTTAAAAATGGTTTACTTCCAACAAAGCATTTAAAATTAAACCTATTAAACAAATCAACCACATCAATATTATAAGAAAACCGTTGCAAACTTGTTACACTTCGAACTATGTTACTACTTGCCATACTGACACCCTCAAATGGTTCACCATTGTCATATCTGGCAGGTGAAGTGCATAATAATAAATTAGTATAAAAGCATTTATTAGCTAAAAGAGTTACATCGTCCAACCTTACGCTTTCAGGAAATCCAGGCAATACTATTACATAATCGGAGTCTGTAAAACCATCAATGTAACACTCTGCGTCCGTTATTAGACGCTTAAATGCAGCAACCGGCTTGCAAATAACCTGCAAGTCATCGTTCTCACCTAGCTTTTTTTTAAGCGGCCCATAGATGAACTTACCATAGCTGTCTGTCAAGACGAGCACTTTCTTCTTAGGTTGTTGAATAGGTTGCTTGTGTACTAATTCCGAAACACAACCGGATAATGATCCCACTTGAGTACCACTATTTTCGATTTGTGAGTATACAATTCGCTCAGTTTGTACATGTATACCTTTCTTGACTATGTGTTGTTTTTCTCGCAGTTCCAGAAGGTCTAGGTTGGCTTTTTTAAGATCTTTTGCATACAGATCATTTTCTTTTGATAAAGTATCTATACTTGTCATCATATTAACTTTAAGCTTATCAAGTTCAGACAATTTCAGGGTTTGCTTTTTAAGATTAATTTCTAACTCTTTAATATCTTTCGTCAGTATGCCATTTTTTTATCAACTCAACAATCTCTCTATGTGCTTTAGATATTTCATGTTTTTGCTCATTCACTCTTTTAGCAAAACCCTCATCAGCAGCAAGCGCTTCCTCCTCAAAGTCCATTGTTCGTCTATTAAGTCTTTTTATATGGGAGTCTTTTTCTTTTATTTCAACAAGCAATGCTTCTGTAAATCAGCGCATGTAGTTTCTTTTTCATTTTCAAGATTCTCAATCTGCAGGTCTTTAGATTGAGATAATAATTCGGCTTTTTTCAGTCTATCAGACAAAAGTTTCTTATCTCTTGACAATTCTTCTACAGTATTCTTGCAACCTCGGCAGTAGAAAACCAAAACTCGCTGGGTCAGGGCAAGAGCGTGAGCTTCTGTTGTGCATATTTCAGAACAGTTCTTACAAAGAACTACCTTGCACAAGTCGCACGGGGCTCCAAAAAGCTCGCCTTTGTCGGGTCTGGCTTTGAGAATGGACTCTTGCACTTTTTGCAATGAGTAGAGTTCAGTGTCCACAAATTATGCAAGCATTAAAAATTTAGTTTCAATTTTAAATAATACGGTCCTTACTCCATCAAAACATCCCACAGTCCTCAGATCAATACTCTCAAAGATAAAATAAATAAATAAATAAATTGATTTTAGGCAATATGCAAATTCACAGGCAATAATATGCAAATTCACAGACCGATAAGGTAGGCATAAATAATTGTGTTTTTTTTTATCACGTAAAACTAATTTGTCTATTTTTGAAGATTAATTGTACGTTTTACACAACAAATCAAACCGATAATAATTAACTTTATTAATCACTGTATAGAGAAAATTTTGCACTTTAGAATGATGCCAAACTCAACTATTATTTTTCGCTCGTATGCACTTAAAAAACAGAATATTTGAGAGCGATTCAATTCACATTTATCAACCTGTCTGCTTACATTTTTTTTTTTTCTTAATTAAGTACTGATCTTGACAAATAGTTGGACGAATCAGCAAATCAGCTTCATCATCAAAGTGTTCTATATTCACTTTTTCAAGTTTACCATTAACTAACCACTGATATTGACAGTCAGAGAAATCAGCTTTATGACCATAAAAGTTCTATATTTATTTCTCAAGCTTATTAGTAACTACTGATCTTGATCAATAGAGGAATCAGCTTTTACTATTTAAGTGTTATACATTCACTTTTTCAAGCTTGTTAGTAACTACTGTTCTTGACAAATAGTCAGAGGAATCAGCATTATGACCATAAAATAAATGTTCTGCATTTACTTTTTCAAGCTTATGATTAACTACTGTTCTTGACAAATAGTCAGAGGAATCAGCTTTATCATCAAAGTGTTCTACATTCACTTTTTTAAGCTTATTATTAACTACTGTTCTTGACAAATAGTCAGAGGAATCAGCTTTATGCAGATTAGAAGGCTTGGAGGACAAAAACCAATTTGTCATGTCTACAATAATATCCCTAACTACAACAAACTTATGATTATCTACATCCCACACTTTATTTTCATTTGGTTCATAACCATCAGTACAGCTTTCCAGGATTTGATATCAAATTTGGTTTTCCTGGTTTTTATGTACCTATAAACGGTATTATGGAACCAAACACTTATGAATATTTCACTTGAGGCTTTTTACTACGCCAGATTTCGTATGATGTTTCAAATTCTTTTAAAGTTTCAGTAGGGATCAAACTAAGTGAGAATGTTGCAGTTAAAACTGCCTCCCTCACCCCAGAAACTTTTTTTTTATATATAGCTGTACCATTTAATTTGTGGGGTTCATGGAATTGTCAAATGATGACTTACCTTTTTGCATACCAAAAAATCTCTCATTTCATTAGCTAGATATTCACCTTCATTGTCACAGAATACATTGAAAATCTGTAAATTGAAATTTGCCCCACTTTCAGCAACTGAATCTTGAAACATACAAAATACATATGACTTATGACTCATCAAATATGTAACACAATAGTAAGTAAATTCATGCACAAACAGTACAATGTTTTTGGAATGGAAGTCGCGCTTGTTTATGCACGCTCCAGATAAATACTCATTGTATAACCTGATCGATTTGCGCCCTAAGTCCTCGATCTCCATTATTTTTTTTTTTTGTTATAATAATTTAATAATTTAAACCTCACCAATGTGGACCAAACGTTGAAACCACTATTGATAATTTTTATTTTTATTTAATCGTCACTATTTGCTTGAATAATAGTGTTTTTTTTTTAAATTTCCAATAACAGTGAGTTCAAGAGCAATTATTATTAAAGTGTTCAAAGACTTACCCAGAAATTATAAGCTTATTTTTTTTTAAGCAATAGTCATACTAGCCCTTTGCATTTTTCTCACGGACAGCAAATTGTAAGGAACCCTAAGAAGGAACCTCTCTGGACAGTCCAGCCTATACTAAAGACTTTCCTGTATGCCCATATTACTGGAAATACTAATTGTGCCCTTTTTGGTTGCTGTTATAAGGGTTCCATTTTTTTTATTATTATTATTTTTTTATTGATGGAATTGTTTTGTTTCACTTTTTTCATTGTGTTTCAGAGACTTGATTTTTTTTTTTCGAAATTGCGTCTTTTAAAATAGATAATTATTTCTAAATTGCTGAACTCTGATGTTCAAGCTCTGTTAGGTTCAAGCTCTGTTAGCATGAAGCCTTTTGTTTCTTTTTAGTTTCAAATTTTCCATTGTCACTATCACATTAAACACTCCCGGTTTTCACAACCGCAATGAATACACGTACACTGGGCCCATAACCTATTGGGAAATGGACTAAGAAATAAAAGAACTTGTTAATTATCGATATTCAATATATTTATTATATCGAACACAGCGTGGAAAGCAGAGCGTGTGAACACATAGAAATAACTACACGAACTGACTCAACATCAAGACAAAGAATTACAAACCCTTTCTTAAGTAAACGATTCCTCATCTATTTACCTTACATATAAAAACTATTATAAACACATTCAGTCATCCATAGCTGCGAAATAAATTACCAAAGTATAGGCTAATAATCAAAGTTTGATTTATTAATTTTTGTTTCACTGATATGAATATCAGTTTATCCAACAGGAATATTGGGAAATGGACTGAGAAATAAAAGAACTTGTTAATTAATTATCGATATTCAATATATTTATTATATCCAACACAGCATGGAAAACAGAGCGTGTGAACTCATAGAACTAACTATACGAACTGACTCAACATCAAGACAAAGAATTACAAACCCTTTCTTAAGTAAACGATTCCTCATCTGTTTATCTTACATATAAAAACTATTATAAACACATTTAGTCATCCAAAACTTCGATATAAATTAGCAAAGTATAGGCTAATAATCAAAAGTTTAATTTATTAATTTTTGTTTCACTGATATGAATATCAGTTTATCCAACACGCAACTTCAAAAATTTGATCAATTATACTAAAAGTGTAATACAACTTAAACCTAGTATAACATAAATAGGCCTGCTATCCTTATGTGTGTCTTTTCTGGGGAAAATTACAATACCGGTCCAGCATTTGCTGCTCGGGGTTAGGAAAAACCCAGAAAAACCTAATCAAACCATTTAATTTATTTACCAAGCCTAATTCCATTCTAATTTCTCAAATTTCACTTGCATCAATGGTTTGGTAAACATGTCTGCTAGTGGTTTATCTGTGGACAAATTAATATTTTATATTAATTACGATCAATTCAATATGATTTGATCTTTTGTGATTTGTTGGATTATTTGTAATACTTATTGAGGTCCATTGTTGTCCTCCTAGGTCATAATTGATTCTGATATTAATATTTATGCATATTTTCTGCTAATGATTTTAACCAGAGAGCCTCTGTGACAGCTTCAAAAAGAAAAACCATATATTCGGCTTCAGTAGATGATGCCGTTACTGACAACTGCCTTTTTGTATTCCAACATATCACACAATTTTCAAACAGTTTAAATAAATATCCTGTTGTGCCTTTTATATTGTTTATATCATCTCCACCTCCCTAGTGTGGATGAATATATTCACTCAAGAAATTGATAGATTCACATCTAAAATATCGTGTCAACTTTAAATTGATTTTACCCTTAAAATATCTAAGGACCCTTTTCAAATATTGTCAAAGTTCTTTAATATTTTTTTTTGTTTTGATACCTGCTCAAAGTAGTAACAGAGTTACTTAAATCAGGCTTGGTATACATAACATATATATGTTACTGTAAATGCCCGAAATTCGGTAAAACCTAGGATAAGCGCGCTAAACCTAGGATTTGCCAAAAGCAAGTGGTAAAAGCCCGAAAACTAGGTATTTTGCTTTCATTTCGGACTTTTACCGGACACAAACAGTAAATCTTAGGATTTACCACACCGCATTGGTAAAAGTACGAATACCACTGATACGTTAAAGAAATCGATATCGTGAAACGATAATCGTTAAGAAAATTAAGAAAATTTCTTGTGTCCTGGAGATTTTCCATCTCAGGAAATTAGCGTAAGAAGTGCAGTGCGAAAATTGTCGTTATGTAGTTGCCAATGATTTAAGAAATGCAATAATAGGGAACTTGCACATTTTTTTTTTATTTCAAAAATGTGTTGCACTACACTAAAGACATAGTCATGCCAAATATCAAGCATTAAAAATCAGCCGTTAATTTTTTATAAATATTTGAAGTTACGCTCGAAACATCGCCATTTGAAACGACCGATTAATGTGACATCACTCAGCAACAAAATTCCGTTCACAGTCCTTGGTTGACAGTGACCTGCGAGCAGGTAGATTTAAGATTATGGTTATATTGTTATTTATGCCGTTTATGATAGATTTGACATTGACAACACCAGCAGCACATGGTGTGGCAGCGGTGCGACCCGATTATTACTGCCCTT